TTCACTATGCAAATAAGGACTGAAACTTTTACTTGATCATGAGTAAGCCTCAGAGAAGGATGCAACCTAAATAATTGTTGGCCCTTATTTAGACGTTAACTTAGTTTTCAGAGAACTTAAGTATTTAAATGGAATGGAAAATTAAGATTTTATGCTTGAAGTATTTATCTGATGTTGAAGATATTTTTAAACATTAAAAGCACTACCCAAGAGTACAGTATCATCATTATTCTAAGTGCTAAAATATCACAGTTAACATAAACTATCTGGCCACAATGACAGATTAAGAAGGGACTGCCTCCATAGGTTGAGTCTGTTGCTGTAACCTATCTAATAACCAAAAACCTTTACCAGGTACCTTGAAATGATGTGGTAATCAACCTGGGAATCTCTAAAATCCCCAGAGAATTTTTTAGCCCCTTCCCAGGTTTGGATCTCAAAATAATACCCCAAAAGTTGAGTAATGCAATTATGTCAGTCTGAAAGGAGGCTTCCAGTGACAAGTTTTAGGTGCTAAACTGTGATAATTTTATCAGCAATATGGTTTAAGACTCTGAAGCCACATGTATCACATTTTCATTGATACAAACCTGGGACTGACAAAATGTATTAGATAATAGCTAGACAAACAAAAGGAACTAATTAAATAAACTAAGGTATTTCTTGAATGGAAAGGCCTTACTTATTATAAGATCACGTAACAGAAGAATGTGGGGAGAGGATTAAACAGGATACATTTGTAAAGAGACAAATTAGTAATGAAAATCAGTTAAAAGAGACTTAAGAGTCAATCAGCCAAATACAATGTTGACCTGTTTGGATACCAATTGAGCAAACCATGTGGGGGGAAAAAAAGACATTTATGAGACAACTGGGAAATGTGAACACTTACTAGATTTTTAAAAACATTAAGGAATCATTAGTTTTTAGATATAACAGTATTATGGTTATATGAAAAATGATACTGTTTTTTGAATGAAATTATATGTCTGGGACTTGCTTCCATATAGTCTATAGGGACTGTGGGACTGAATACAGAGAAAATAAATTTCACCATGTGTTGATATTTGTTGCAGCAGCGGAAAAGGTGCATAAGGATTCATTATAGTGTTACATATACTGTTCACATGCTTTGGTATATATTTGAAATTTCCCATAATAAAGTGTAAAAAAAAAAACATTAAATAATTAAAAAAAAATTGAGTCCATTTCTGTAAAAATACAACATATGTAAATATATATCCCCTGCAAAGGAAAGGCTTATAAGACACTGTTGCTGCTGCTGTTGTTGTGTGACGTCAAGTCATTTCCAACTCACAATGACTCGACAGGACAAAACAGTCTGCCCCATAGGGTTTCCTACACTGAAATCTTTAAACAGATCACCAGTCTTTCCTCCTGTGGAGCAGCTGGTGGGTACAACTACTAACCTTTCAATTAGCAGCCAAACGCTTAACCATTGTGCCTCTCCAAAAGAAAAGAAAAGGAAAAAAAAAAACCTCACTGCCATTGAGCCAATTCTGACTCAAAGTGACCCCCCATCGCATTTCTGAGGTGGTAAATCTTTACCTAGTCTTCCTTCTGCAGAGTGGCTGGTAGGTTTGAACCACCAACTTTCTGATCAGCAGTCAAATGCCTTAGGCACTACAGAAGACAATAATGCTAAAATGGTAAAGGTGAAAATATGTGGTAATTTTACTGCCTACCATTTTTTTTTTCACCTGAATTTAAAGACCATCTAAAGAAGAAATCTGACGCACTGAACACCAATGACCAAAGACCAGACAAACTGTAGGATGACATTAAGAACATCATACATGAAGAATGCAAAAGGTCATTAAAAAGAGAAAACGAAGAAAAGACCAAAATGGATGTCAGCAAAGACTCTGGAACTTGCTCTTGAATGGAGAGTAGCTAAAGCAAATGGGAAAAATGATTAAACAAAAGAGCTAAGCAGAAGATTCCAAAGGGTGGCTCAAGAAGACAAAGTAAAGTATTACAATGAAATGTGCAAAGACCTCAAATTAGAAAACCAAAAAGGAAGAACATGCTTGGCACTTCTCAAGCTGAAAGAACTGAAGAAAAAATTCAAGCCTCAATTTGCAGTATCAAAGGAGTCTATGGGCAAAATATTGAACAATACTGAAGCATCAAAAGAAAATAGAAGGACTACACAGAGTCAGTGTATCCAAAAAAATGGTCAACATGTAACCATTTCAAAAGGTAGCATATAATCAAGAACCAATGGTATGGAAGGAAGAAGTAAAAAAAAACAAGGCTCCAAGAACTGATGGAATACCCACTGAGATGTTTCAACAAAAGGATGAAGCACTAGAAGTGCTCACTTGTTTATGCCCAAAAATTTGGAAGACAGCTACCTGGCCAACTGACTGGAAGAGATCCATATTTGTGCCCATTCCAAAGTAATCCAATAGAATGCAGATATGATACACACCATATCATTAATATCATACGCAAGTAAAATTTTGCTGAAGATAATTCAAAAATGGTTGCAGCATTACATCAGTAGGGAGCTGCCAGATATTCAAGCTGGACTGAGAAGAGAGCATGGAATGAGGGGTATCA